ATGCACGGAGCAGGCCTCCCCCCCCGGGCTGCTTAGCAGCTGCTTGGGGGGGTTTGTTTGGTTTTTATTCTCCCCCCCTCTCTCTCTTAGCTGGGAGCTTATTGTGCATTTCCAACAGCAACTGGGTGACCCCAGGTGATAATTCAGCTGCCACTCGGCCTGGCAGCGGCACAACTTGGACACGTTTCAGACACCTGGCATCACGCAAGGAGGGAGGGAGACAAAGGGGATCGATACCCTCTGCCCCAAAGGCAAACACGCTGCATCGATTAACTCCAGCAGCCGTGGAGACTTGCAGAAATGATCCGGGTTTCAAGCAGGTCTCACAAACTCCTCCACGTGTTTCTCTCCTTAGGGGAGTGGTTTGGCATCCCCCTGTGCCTCCTTCTCCAAGGAGAGCCGTGGGGTGACCCCCTGTCTCTCAGATGTCCAAGGCCAAACCCTCCAGGAGCACATACGGGGGTGAGAGGACCCAGAAACCTGCCAGCCCCCCGGGATCACTCCTTGGAGGAAGTGAACATTAAGTATAAAACATGTTTCTTTGACGCAACCTAAATACAAACAATTCAATTACAAGGTCTGGAGACAGGCGTGCAGAGAGAGAAGCAATCCCTGCCTGTAGCTGCCAAGGCTCCAGCTCCCAAGCATCCTCTGTCTGAAGCGGCTGAGCAGCTGCTGGGATGCACGCACAGCACCCATGGCCACGGTCCGGGACTGCAGGCTGGGTCCTGCTTTCATGGAAATGGGTCTTGGTCCGGGGGTCTTTGCACACACGTTCTCCTCCTGGGGTTCAGCTCCGGCTCAGACTCTCCCCTCTGCCCTCCCCTTCCCCATGGTCCCTCCCAGCATCTCCTGCAATTCCTGACTCCATGCTCGATGGAGGTCAGGATTTAACACTTTTCTCTAAATTGGCCACTCTGAACTGAACTCCCCTCTAAATTTTGGAGGTGCTGACATTCCCCTGGCATGGCTTTGTGGGGCCCCCCCCCCCGGCCGCCAGGCAATGAGCAAAACTCCCAAACCCTGTCTCAGCACTTGCCTGAGGACAGGTCACAGCCCCCTGCGAGGGGGACACTGCTCTGTAGGACAAAATCCCATCCTCGCCAGAGCTGATGTATGCACTGAGCCTGCGTGTGATACAGCCGTGTGAAACGATGAGCAACCCTTACACGAAAACGCCTTGCAGGTAAGGCACCGCTATCTCCGGGCGCACCCCAAAATGGTTCAGGTTTGGGGATGAGGGTGACTGCTAACTGTGGCTCCCAGGGGCCAGATCCGGGCCAGCAGTGCTGCTGGCATCCCACTGCTGCTCCTGGGGGGTCCCGGGGGCTTTCCCGCAGAGCCGCTGTGCTCCCGCTGCCCTTCCCTCTCCTCTCCCTTCACCCTTATGCTGTTCTTCTGGCTGCCCAGCTTGATACTCAGCCAGCGAGGACGTAAGCCGCTGATAAAAGGAGAGAGGCTTTTATTTATTATTCAGCCATCTCCAGGGTTTCAGTGCCACAATGCATTACCCTACTTCCCATATACATTATTTATTTCCTGGTTCAACACAGGTAAAGCTAAAGTGAATATGAAAGATGTTTGAAGCCCCTACACAAAAGACTAATCCAGCCCAGCTTCCCCAAGCTGAAATCCCTTCTCTGCTCAAAACCCAGACTAAAGATGAAATCCTGCTCTCACTGAAGTCAAAGGGAGTTTTTAATAACGGAGTTCAAGGGCTTGAAGCCTTAACAGATTTCTGAAGGAGGAGCAGTCCTGGATGCAGACGTCCCCTCCCAGGCAGCCTGCAGCGGGTCTGCCCAGCCAGCCAGCCGTTTTGGGGCAAGGCTGCCCTCTCCGCCTCCAACCCCGACGATGACGAGCTCTCGGGCAGCAGTGACGCCAGCGTCGCGAAACCAAAACGTCTTGGCATCTTGCTACTTTTTTTTTTTGTTGTTGTTCTCTTTTTTGGCATCGAGCTTTCAAAGGGAAGTAAATTCAGGAACCGGAGATGTTCTTGAGCCTTTGGGTCACAGCCTTACTGCCATCTGCAAAGGAAGCAATCAAATTTCACCTCAACCCCCGTGAATCCCAGGCCGGCGCGGTGGCCGTCCCCGCAGGCTGCGTGCGCCGGGCAGCTGCCATGCTCTCACCGACGTGGGCCAGCCGGGCTGGCCACGGCTCTGGTTGTTAGTGCCGAGTTCCCGTGGCCACCATTTCTTTAGAAAACAATAAGATTTCTTTGGATCGCCACAGGATGTCTTTGGATAAGCTGTGTTTCCAGGAAGGAAGGAGAGGAATTTGATCCTCCACACCTCGGTCCCGAGAGGGGAGTAAAAAAAGATCAGCTGAGATTGTTCAGGCATTTACATTTTGGTGAAAGCCAGCACTCACCGGGAGTTACCTTGCAGAGGAAATGCTCCTTTTTTTGTCGATCGTGCTGCAAAGGTTTGGCAAAGTCGGATAGGGTGGGCTTGCAGCACTCAGCCGTCCAAAATGTGCTTTGCCATCCCTGGATGTACATGCAGGGACGTGGAAGGGGAGCTCCTTGGCGCAGGGTCGGGCTGGCTTCTCTCCTTGCTTTCTCCCACCCCTTCCCGCCCGCTGTCCCACCAGGCCTGGCACCCTGACGGGTAATTAGCAGAACAAGCGTTTGGAGAACGCTTAGCCAGCATTCCCTGTCCTCCTGGGAGCTAAATGAGCCCCTTACCTGGGCCTGGGGGCTTCTCCCATGTGGTGGGGGAGCCCTGGGCAATGTCCTTTCTATGGGAGGCTCTGGGACCCCACCTCCATGCCTCACCCCGTCCCCTCCCTCCTCGCTTCGGGACTGGCTTTTGAATTCAGACTTCAGCTTTTTAATCCAGGCTTCAGCTTTGCCCAGAGGCAGCAGGATCTGGGGAGATGGTCCGCAGCTGCTTGCACTGGC